TCTGTGCCAGCGGGACACCTGGCTGAGCTCTCCAGCACAACAAAACCCGGTCCCTGGCCCTGCACAGTGCTGCCGGACCGGGCTGCAGGAGGAGGAGCTGCAGGCTCAGAATGCAGGGAGGGAGGGGGGGGGGGGGGGGTGGGGGGGGGGTTCCCAGGAGGGGGCAGTCAGGGGACAAGGAACGGGGGGAGGGTTGGGGGTTCGTGGGGGGGCGGGAAGTGGGAGGGGCAGGGGCGGGGCTAGGGCGGGGCTCCTCCCGTCCTCTTTTTTGCTTGTTGAAATATGGTAACCCTATTGGCAGCAACAGTAGCGAATTTCAGCAAAAACCCCCAGTGTGACCAGCTCCATAGACCACTCTTCTAGGCAGCCGACAGCATTCTTTCAGTGGGTAGATGTGAACCATGTTATAACTATGCTGGGCTGCAACCACCTTGCCAAATGACTTCAAAATGCAATTGCTACAGAGAGATGCTGTAGTGTGGACATGGCCTAAAAGCCCAGAACTAACCAGCTTTCTCTTACGTCTGTTGCTTCTGCTACCATTGCGAGCCCCCCTCCCCCCACTTTGGGGAGGCTAGCCACACGCCCCCCTCCCTTCCACCCGAGGCCCTGCCTCTATCATGCCCACCCTCTGCTGGAGCCCTGAGCGTCCCCCGCCTCTATGGCCAGAGGAGCCCCTGCTGAACTGCCCTGGGCTGCTGGCTGCCCCCAGCAACTGGCCACAGCGCTGGGCCACTGGCTGGCACCAGCACCGGGCCATCCACCGGCCCCACCCACCTACTGGCATCTGGCCGGAGCTGAGCTCCCGCCAACTTAGAAGAGAAGGTGGCACGTGGGCAGGGCCAGGGCCTGGGTTAGGGCCTATTATACCTGCCACCCATGTCTGCCATTATTTCAAGCTGCTCCTGTGTTCTAAATACAGTGGTTTCATCCGTGCAATAGTCAAAAACACCCAGCAGGAAATGCGCAGTAGCATAACACTGTCACTAGCGACCTGTATGGTGGAGGAAACCTGCTTGATGATAACCTGACATTACCTCTTTGGGCCCAGATCCTCAAAGGTATTCAGACACCAAACTCCCACTGAAATCTATTGGAGTTAGGCACTTAACTACCTTTCATAGATTCTAGGACTGGAAGGGACCTCGAGAGGTCATCGAGTCCAGTCCCCTGCCCGCATGGCAGGACCAAATACTGTCTAGACCATCCCTGATAGACATTTATCTAACCTACTTTTAAATATCTCCGGAGATGGAGATTCCACAACCTCCCTAGGCAATTTATTCCAGTGTTTAACCACCCTGACAGTTAGGAACTTTTTCCTAATGTCCAACCTAAACCTCCCTTGCTGCAGTTTAAGCCCATTGCTTCTTGTTCTATCCTTAGAGGCTAAGGTGAACAAGTTTTCTCCCTCCTCCTTATGACACCCTTTTAAATACCTGAAAACTGCTATCATGTCCCCTCTCAGTCTTCTCTTTTCCAAACTAAACAAACCCAATTCTTTCAGCCTTCCTTCAGAGGTATCATCCCCATCTGTACCCTGGGGATGATAGCATCGCCAGCCCTCGCCGGGGTGCTGTGAGGATGAATACATTAAAG